CTCACGCTGTCTCTCTCTCTCTCTCCTAGAAATAAATAAAACACTAAAAAAAAAAAAAAAAAAAAAGTACAAGGGGAAGCAGCCAAGTACCGATGTAGAAGCTGCAGCACGTTCCCCAGAAGATGTAGGTACGGTAGTTACTGATGGTGGCTACACTGAACAGCACACTTCTAATGGAGATGAGGCAGCCTCCTACTGGAAGAAGATGCCACGCAGGACCTTCAGAGCTGGAAAGGAGAAGTCAATGCCTGGCTTCAAAGCACAGGCTGACTCTCTGGTTGGGGGTAACGCTGCTGGTGACTTTAAGCTGAAGCCAGTAGCCATTTACCTGAGCAAAATCCTAGGGCCCTTATGAACGGTGCTAGATCTACTCTGCCTGTGCTCTCTAAAGGGAACCATAAAGCGTGGATGACGGCACATCTGTTCACAACATGGTTGACTGAATATTTTAAGCCCACTGTTGAGACCTATTGCTCAGGGAAAAAAAGATTTCTTTCGAAATATTCCTGCTTGTTGACAATGCACTTGGTCACTCAAGTGCTCGGATGGAGACGGAGAAGGAGATCAATGCCGTTTTCATGCCTGCTGACACAATATCCGTCCTGTAGCCCATGGGTCAGGAGTAGTTCTGACTTTTTTAAGAAATCCACTTCATAAGGCAGTAGCTGCCATAGACAGTGATTCCTCTGACGGATCTGGGCAAAGCAAATTGGAAATCTTCAACAAAGAACTCAGCCTTCCAGATTCCACTAAGCACATTCAGGATTCACTGGAAGAGGTCAAAATGTCAACATGAATAAGAATTTGGAAGAAAGTAATTCCAACCCTCATGGAAGACTTGGGGGGGTTCAAGACTTCCACACAGGAAGAAACTGCAGATGTGGTAGTAAGAGCAAGGGAACTGAAATTAGCAGTGGAGCCTGGAGACGGGACTGAATGGCTGCCGTCTCGTGATAAAACCTGAGGAGGAGATGCTTCCTAGGGATGAGCAACAAAAGCGGTTCTCTGAGTTGGAATCTACTGCTGGTGACAACGCTGGGAAGGTCACAGAAAAGACAACAGAAGATTTAGAAGACCACATACACTGGGGCAGCAGCAGGTCTGAGAGGACGGGCTCCAATTCTGAAAGAAGTTCTACTGTGGGTGAAAGGCTATCGAACAGCATTACCTGCTACAGAGAAATCATTCGTGAAAGGAAGGGTCAACCTATGCCACAAACTTCCTTAATGTCTTATTTTAAGAACCTGTCACGGCCACCCAACCTTCAGCAGTCCCAACTTGACCGTCAACATGGAGGCAAGACCCACCAGAAAAATTATGACTCACTGAAGTCCCCCAAGTGACAGCATATTTGAGCAAAAGTATTTTTTAATTAAGGTACGTACACTATTTTTTTAGACACGAATCTATTGCATACTTAATAGACTAGTGTGTAAACATAACTTTCATATGCACTGAGAAACCAAAAACTTCATTTGACTCATTTTATTACAATATTTGTTTTACTGAGGTGGTCTAGAAGCAAACCCCCAATGTCTGAGGTATGCCTGTATATTCTATTTTAAGAAAGACTTCTATAAACTGCATTTCCCAAGCAGGATTAATTACGAGAATAATTAGAGTTGCAGCAAAATGCACTTAATCAGGAAAGTGCTATCGAACAAAGAAAATCTATAAACAGAATGTACTCCCGGCTAGGAAAAAAAAGGAAGGGAGGTTATCCTGTCTGCAGAGACATCCACAAGCAATTTACAGCAAATGACTCTGACAGATGCAGGAAGATAAGCAAAAAGAAAGTGGCTAAGAAGAAAATTCCAAATATCTTGGAGACTATATAGTCAGCCACCAAAGGCCGGACAAGGATCGTTAGTATCCCCACAAGAGGGAAGTCGGGCAGAGGGCAACCACAGCTATTTGACATTTCTCTTAAGACCCAGAATTGCTTTTTCATGCCCTGCCTTCAGGAATCACAAACTACCACTACCAGAAGACCTTTGCAAGAGCCAGAGCCTTAAGAATACAGTCCAGGAGGCGACTGACAGCTTCTGAAGTGTCATCCCCACTGAGCACGCCATTGCTGTGACTGGGACCCTGAATCCACATCTTATTAACTGTGACCCTGAGAGAGTCACAGGCTCTCCAAGCCTTACTTTCCTTAGCTGTCAAGTGGGATAATAGCAGCTACTTTCAAAGGGTTCATGTGAGGATTAAAGATGTTTGTAAAGCACCTAACAATGTCTGGCATATAACAGGTGCTATAAATGTGAACTATGGTTACCAGCAACAGCATTCCAAATACCATTCGGATCCATTTCATCCACACACAAAAAACTGCTGTAAAGTTTACTAGTGACTTGCTTTGCAAATCATTTTTGTTTTGCTTAAGAAAGGTAATACTGAAAAACAGGAAGAGATGATAAGGTATCCTCAGCTTCTTACCTATAACACTGAATCCGGTTATTGGCCCGGGAAATTTATCTCCCATGTAGATACTCCCTACTCTTAAATTGCACTAAGATCTGAAGCTTGGTTAGAAAACAGTGAGCCACAATACCATCCTAAAATGTGGCACTGTCAAACAAAGTTTTTTTGACTATAAACTCAAGAAATAAAGAATACAAGCATAATGTATCATAATGAAAACTACAAAAAAATATATAAACTTCCACGAGGTATATAAATTTAGCCAAACAGGTACCCTCATGGAACTGATTTTCTTTAATCTCTCAAGTGTTCAAGGAGGGGAAAAAACATATTTGAAGACATGAAGCTCTAAGAAGACCTAATTTTTAAAGCAATGACTTTCAGAGGACATTCTACAACCAGAGCAAGTCACTATAACCCCTTTTCTTTTATATATTTTTACTTTTAAACAGAGATCTGATGTCACACACACAACCCTGAGTCACTCTAAGAATCAACAAATTATGTTTCCTAAACTGAACTGAGGCAGAAAAGGTCAGCATATATTTCAGAAGTAATTTCTAGACTTTAAAACCATTTCCTGTCTAATCCTACTTAATCAGAATGTGAAATGAACTATAACTCACTCTTTGCAAAAAAAAATCATACTAACAAAGACTGTAATATATTCTTAGAAGGCTTTGAATTCCTATCAAGTCCTGTCCAAGTTATTTTCATTCCTAAAAGTCACAGACAGATACAAACGTTAACACTTACTCAGATTGGCGGTCATGGATTCTAAATCTGCTATTAAACCTGGAAGCTGCTGTAGCTGCTCCTGTAACTCGATGAGGCTCGTCTTCTTTTTCTCCCAGTGTGCGGAGAGCATCACCACCTCGCTGTCCACCAGCTGCAGTATGGGAGGAAGCCAAAGCAGACTTCAGGCGCAAGGAAATGACAGCCAATGAGAGTTGCTCAACGTTAGAAAGAAAACTGAAGTTGTTTTCTTTCTTAGAAGAGAACCGACTTACTATTCAGTCGGAAAACCTCAAATTACTGCTGGTCTCCGTGCATCTTCACCCGGAGAAGAGAAAGGTCAGAAGTGACCTTGGAAATCACTTCTAAGTACACCCTACTTTTAAGTAAACTATGTATTTGAAATCCAAATCTAGACAAAACATAAATTAAAAAAAAAAAAAACCAACACTCACAAACCAAAAAGAAAACAGAAAGCAACCCGAAACACAATTACTGGGTAATTATTTGTTTTCCAAAAGGAATTTTTTTTAACAGAAAAGTTCCTTGATGCCTTTAGAATATATAGGATTCAGTTTACATTTAAACAGGAATGCACTGCATAAAGTAAGGTAAATAGTACGTGTCTATGAAAGAATGATTGAGGCAAGTGGTCAATTCCAGAAAAAGGCGAAGAGGATTTATGTCAACAAGGAATTCAGAGGTGAAGGGCTCCTAACAGCATGGCAGTGACATATTAGACCAGCCTAAAAGAATTCTAACTTCTTTTCCTGAGGACTGTGGCAAAAAAATGACAGTCATCAGTTTCTCCCAAACAATTTTGTTGTGGGCTTAACACGGTGGGAGAGCAGGGACTTAGAATAAGATTTCGAAGGAGCAGGCGGAGGCCATCTTCTGAAAACATCGCCAGTGGTTAAGCAAGCATCGTGAAAGATTCCCACATCAGTAAACACCAAGATTGTAAAATTCATTACCTAACAGAAAATGTATTTGAATTTTGTCTGAAATCGGAGTTCATGGTTAAAAAGAGACAATTTACATATCTCAGGATTAAGATGTCTCAGGAGGTAGAACATGAGTGCAACAAATTGTTACTGACTCTCACTAAGCTAACTGAGAACTTCAGGGAAATAAAAATATCAAAACTAGATGCGAATCATTTGGACGTGGTGCTAGACTGATTCGGTGTCTATATTTTAACATTCCAGAAATTCCCAACATGGAAACAGAAGAACTAAGTTTGACAGAGAAGTTAAAAGCCACCTGGTTTCCTCACTCTGTCCCCGGGCTCGCACACCTGCCCCCTGCTTTTCAGCCCACACTGCAGGGAAGACCACACCACCTCTCCAGGTGGAGCCTCCACTGAGCGGGAGAGGGGACACCACACTTTACTCGAGCTGCATTGCTCATTAATTTTGTTTAGTTAAAAATGCCTATTGCCGGGGCGCCTGGGTGGCTCAGTCGGTTAAGCATCTGACTTCAGCTCAGGTCATGATCTCACGAGTAGTGGGTTCGAGCCCCGCATCAGGCTCTGTGCTGACAGCTAGCTCAGAGCCTGGAGCGTGCTTCAGATTCTGTATCTCCCTCTCTCTCTGACCTTCCCTGCTCACACTGTCTCTCTCTCCCTCTCTTAGAAAGAAATAAAACATTAAAAAAAATTTTTTAGAAAAATGCCTATTGCCAACGAGGTTTATAAAGATCCCTAAAAGGAATCTAAGGAATACTGAGCAATGTGAATATATATAGCTGTGACGCCAGACTAAGGGAACTGAGGCTTGAAACAAGGATCTGTGTTCATAAAATTCATCCTTACAATCTTCTCCTGACCACTCCCTGTGTGGGCTATGGGGACACAACAGTGAACGAAACAGAAAATTCTGCCCACTTAATGCTGATATCCTGTAAGCAGGTCTCTCAAATTCTCTTAGCTCTGGTTTTTAAACTCTGAAGAAGAAAAAATAATTCCTATATTACCGGGCAGATTTGAGGATAAATAATATATCTTTCCAGGTATGTGGTGTATTTTTTTTTTTTTTTTACTAAGTCTGTTAAATCTTAACCAGTCTGGTTAATTAAGTGAATTTGAAAAATCTAGAACAAGTTTTTGATATCAACCACGTCTCACTGAAAATTAAAGTGCAGCATAAATCTAGTTCTTACCTTCCACAAAACTGAAAATTATATTCTGAATACAGGATATAAGAAGTATATGCAGAAAAAATATATCAGAATACACTAAAATGCCATTTTAGGAAAGAATGAGAGACTGAACCGATTCTCAGAAGTCATTATCAATAATTACGTAATAAAACTAAAACATTTTGAGCATTTTCCGTGTGCCAGGCCCTGTGCTAAGCGATTCACGTGTTTTATGTCGTTTAGGGCACATGGCAACCTTATAAACTAAGTACTGTTATCACCTTTATTATGCCACTTTCCCAAGGGCCACAGTGGACTGAGATCAATCCTACGGAATCTGACACTCAAGCTCAGCCCTTAGTATTCTAGGGATTGTGCTACAGGGGTATATGAAAGGAAGAAGTGAAATGCTAGCAAAAGAAAAGGTTCTAAAAAACGATAAACTTGACTTCATGGTAAGAAATGATCAGGGGCACCTGGGTGGCTCAGTCCATTGGGTGTCCAACTTTGGCTCAGGTCATGATCTCCCGGCTCGTGAGTTCAAGCCCCACATCGGGCTCCTTGGGCTCTGTGCTGACAGCTCAGAGCCTGGAGCCTGATTCGCTTCCCTTCCCTCCCTCCCTCCCTCTCTCTCTGCCTTTCTCCCACTCACAATCTCTCTCTCAAAAACAAATAAAACATGAACAAAAATTAAAAAGAAATGATCACAAGAAGGCCAATTTTTCCACCTCTAAATAAACCATTCTGAATAAAACCAGATCTAACACCAGGATATCAAACTTAAGCAGGAAGACAAACCCACCGTGCTTCATTCCAAAATGCCTTCTGTTGGGCACTGAAGGGAGAATGAAGACACTGGACAGAGAATGCCAATGACCGATGAGACGGCTAATAATAGGACCCAACCGTGTATGACACGCAACTGTTCAGTGCTTTGGGGGTACAGAATTTCACGTGATTTCCAAACAACGCTGTCTGGTGAGCAGGGAAGGTGGTGTTACGTATGACATCTTATAGATGAGCAAACTCACAGCAGAGAGACTAAGGCAGGTGCCCAAGGTCAAACGTCCTAGCACAGAAACTAGGATTTCCAACACGCACTTCGGTGAACTTCCTACCACAGCCACAAGAGCCAGGCGGAAACACGGAGAAGCATGTCTAATTTAACCAACTTATACTTCAAATTGTTAAACCATGAATCTTAAGGGTTCAATTTGAAGACAAGCAAGTATTTCACAATAATAGGGATCAGAAGAAAATAATGCACCTGGAGTCTAACTTTTAAAAACTGCCCTGAGAGTCTAACCCCTAACGTCATCATTAACTATTCATTTATATATTGCTAGAAAGAAAATAAATGTAAAGAACTTGTTAAAAAAAAAAGTGTAGAAAAGCCTAGACAAACTACAAATGTTGATTTTCTAAGATACCATCTGAATTTTAAGACTATATAGTAAGAACTAGCTTTAAAACTTAAGATGAGTATAAAATAATGTGTCAAAAAAGACTGAATGGTTCCTAAGTGTATTTGCCCTGGCAGGTGGAAGCTGTCTGGTTCAAGGCCACCAAAGACACATGAGCGACAGTCTGACAAAATAAACTCATTATAGGTTAGCACTATGCATATTAAAGATTGACATTTTAAACATTTTTGTGTCTCAACAATACATCAGAGGAATTTGAAATAAATTTTCATTTTTTAAAAATTGCTTTAATGTTTATTTATTTTTGAGAAAGTGCGTGTGCGCGCAAGCAGGGGAGGGGCAGAGAGGGAGGGAGACACAGAATCTGAAGCAGGCTCCAGGCTCCGAGGTGACAGCACAGAGCCCGATGCAAGGCTCAAACCAATGAATTAACTGTGAGATCATGACCTGAGCTGAAGTTGGATGCTTAAGTGACTGAGCCACCAGGTGCCCCAATAAATTTTCATTTTTAAAGCTGAGCATTATATTTCTGGAAAACAACAGAGGCACTTTTGATCAGATGTGGGTCTTATAATAGCTCTATGAATAAATTAAGAACCTTAAGTAGCATAAATTCAACAACATATCTTACAGGAGATTCATTTTCCTATATATTTCATTATAAAACACTTCGTACAATCAAAAGAATTATTTGTTAAAGCTCCTCTACAGAATATGGTCTTCACTGAACACCGTGGGCCTCCCCATGCAGATTCATACAGATGCAGTAGTTCACTAATTGTCCCTGCTGTATGGTACTTGATTTTATGAATAACATTAGAATTTATTCTGTAGATGGGACTGTGTAACTGCCTAAAGTTTCACAAAACCTGCTCAAACATGCTGGTACAAATCTCCTGGTGCACACGTGCCAAGGTTCACAAATGAGTTATAGCTGTGTCCAAGGCACTGCTCTCACCTCCCAGACGGGCTCAACAGGACCTGGGGTAATCAGACTGCCCCGGCCTAGCCACCTCTGACTTCAAGGGGCCTCATCTATTTCTTACGTAATAAAGGCAAAGCCAACGTTATCAGAGAAAATACGTGCCGTACCCATGTGATCAGAGGAAAGCTTGAGCTGCAAAGCTCTGGATGTATGCCCAGGAACAGAACTGTTTTTGGAGACGTACATGCAACTTGAACTTCTACTTAGTGCCAACTCATGCTTTCTAACGCAATTGTAGCAATGGATTTAGTTCTAGTTGTTCGTCATCATGTTTCTTCCAAGGGAAGAAACCAGACTTTCCTCAGCCAGTAAGCCACAGACACTCGAGGCTTAAATTCTTGGTAAGCTAATGAATATGAATTTGTGGTTTCAATTTGTATTTCTTTGATCACTATTCAACGCCAAAACACATTTTCATGTGTATTGGCCATTTCCTACTTTTCCCTCTGTAAAATGCCTGGTCATAGCTTTTGGACACTTTTCTATTGGGTTATTTTACTGGGCTGTATATGTTGTTCATATTTTATGAACACTTGTCCTCTGTTTTATGAACTGCTTAACTTTTTCATGGTGTCATTCAATGAGTAGAAGCTTTGATAAAAATCATTAGTATTTTTAGTCGGTGCTTTTTATGCCTTCTTTAAGAAATCTTTCTTGGGGCGCATGGGTGGTTCAGTAGGTTAAGCGTCCAACTCTTAATTTCAGCTCAGTTCATGATCTCATGATTCTTGGGATCGAGCCCTGCGTCAGGCTCTGCACTGATAGCATGCAGCCTGCTTGGGATTCTCTCTCACACCCTCTCTCTGTGTGCCCCTCCCCCAACTCGTGCTCTCTCTCAAAGTAAATAAATGAACATTAAAAAGGAATCTTTCTCTACCCTGAGGTCTTAAAGGTTTTCCACTATTTTCCAAAAGATGTAATTTCTCTCTCACGTTTAACCCTCATGGAGCCAAAATTTGAATGAAGGTCTTCAACTATTTTCATTTTGGAGATTCTACCCCATATAAAAGATAGGACAAAATGAAAGTTGTACACATTAGGAGGGAGGAAACAAAACCTACCATCTACACAAAACAACTCCCAGGCCCACATACAAATTACTGGGAAAGAGGATTTAGCAAGATGGCTGAATATGGGATCGATACACTGCAAGTCAGATATATACTGCAGGTCTGAGTACATATATCAGGACAAAGAAGTTATTTTCTACAAAAACTTGTTAAATCCTTTTACTCTAACTGGGTGCTTAATGTTATTGAATCTCTGTACTTAAGTGTATGATATTATACAATTGGTCCATTGTATTTTCTGCATCCGATGATCATATATCTTTCTTCTTTAATATGCTATTGTGGTCTGTTGCATTTATAAGACCGCTAATGTCAACCTTTTAATCCAGGAATAAACCAGGAAGACAGGATTGTGGTTTTTATGCATTGCTGGGCTCGGGGTGGCAACACAACCACACACTGCAGAGTGTGAGCCAAAGACTGCCTTTTGTTGATCATCCGATCTCATGTATAATTGAATATTTACATATCTACTAATACTTATCATAGGAAAACTTTATATTTAAGCTTGATACACACTTTAAAACAATGTGTGAGAAGACTCTCAAATTATATTTCAGACACAATTGTTAGAATATCACAGTCCCAAGACTGGAGGAGGAGCACATCCAGGAAGGAGATCCGTACCACCAGCTGCAGGAGGCCGTGTGACTGCACGTGAGCAAGTCTCAACTAACAATTACGTTAGAAGTCTGGTCATCGGAAAACTATGCCGTAAGCACTATACTTCCTAACAGACTGCACCCAGGTATAGACACTTTGCTGGTTTTAAATATATGTAAGCAAGCTGGTTGAGGGTTTTGGGTGACACATCATAACTTTTCCAATTTAGAATATGGGAAATAAGCTCCTTGTTGGAGTTTTTGCATGGAACATTCGACTTTCAGAAACTGAAGTGAGAGATGATGACTGTTTATTATTTTTAGATCTATATTCATGCGTGCGAGTGGACCTTAATGTCATTTTCTCATACATCCCTTGTTGGGGTTCAGTATTAAAAGTTATTCTAATCTCATTAAATGAGTTGGTCACAGTTTCCTCTTTTTCATTTACCCCAAGAGTTGGTCTAACACTGAAATGGTAGATTCCCCAAGTTTGATAGAACTCTCCTATCTAACTCTGCAGTCTGTCTGAGCAGAAAACAATTTTTAATCACTAATACAATTTCCTATTTCCAATCTAAATTGCTTCTAGAGTTCATTTTGGTAAAAACTTCTGAGATTTTTGGCATTTCATCTAAGTTTTCAAATTTGTCAAAGTTGTTTATGAACTCAATCTTTTTGCTCTCTGTGATAACTGGTGACATTCTCTTCAATTCTTAAAATTATTTTTTTTCTTGATCAATACCATCAGAGATTTATCTACTGTATTAGTCTTTTCTCAGGCCTTTTTACTTTGGGGGCGCCTGGCTGGCTCAGTCAGTAGAGCATGCAACTCTTGACCTCAGGGTTGTGAGTTCAAGCCCCACACTGGGTGTAGAAATTACTTAAAAATAAATAAAACTTAAAAAAAGAACTTTTCACTTTGTTTAGTTTCTATTGTATTTTTATATTCTATTTCATTTACTGGTCTCTTATATCTATCATCTTTTCCATTCTTTCTTCAAGGTTTATTCTGTTCTCTTTCCAAATCATTAAGTTAGTAATTTAGGTCAGTGTCGGTCTTTCTTTTTTCTCTATAAAACTTCCATCTAAGTAGACTTGAGACAATTCAACAACTTACATGTAAATTTTAAAGTTTTCAATACTGGGGCACCTGGGTGGCTCAGTTGGTTAAGTGCCTGACTTCAGCTCAGGTCATCATCTCACGGTTGTGAGCTCAAACTGTGCTGACAGCTCAGAGCCTGGAGCCTGCTTCAGATTCTGTGTCTCCCTCTCACTCTGCCCCTCACCTGCTCACCCTCCATCTCTCTCTCTCACTCTCAAAAATAAATAAGCATTAAAACAAAATTTTAAAGTTTTCAATAATTTTCCTTCTTTGAACCATATATTATTCATATTTTTTATTTCCAAACCTATGGAATTTTCAAAATTGTTTTCCTGTACTGATTTTCAGCTTCATTTGCAGTGGGATCAGAGAATAGCCTGTATGATTTCGTTTATACGAACCTTGTTGAGAACTGCAGTAAATGGTCGATTTTTATGTGTTCTGAACATGCTTTAAAGAACCTGTGCTTTTTATTTGCTAGGAAAGTACTCTGCATTTGTCCCAAGTCAAATGTGTTAATCACATGATTTAATTCTCCTTTTTCCATACTTCTTTTATCTGTTTTTTTTTCTATCAAGTAAGAGGAATGAATTAAACTTCTCCCACTTTATGGATTTATCTATTTTTTCCCCTTGTAACTCTATTTGTCTTTTATACATTTAGCTTCTCATATATTGCCTTTCCCTCATTCTTTTTAGGATGTTTATTAGATAAGCTGATCCATATGAAACTCTTAACTTTACAGAGCAAATTAGTCCAATATGGTGATCTCACTAGGTTCACCCTAAAGATCTTCTATAACTGTTCTCTATTAATTCCTCTGTCATATTTCTTACCTCAGAGGTCCCTTTCTTATCTCTGAAATCCCCTTCTCATCGCCAAGATCTCTCTTATCTCCGAGATCCCTTCACGTAGGTAACACATCTACATTGCTATATTCTTTCCTCAGTTGTATACAATTGCTGTTTAAGCACACACTTTGGATTTTTAATGTCACTGACTTTTTAAAGTCATGTTTGACAAAGTCTTATTCCCTACTCACATTTTAATCCACCTTTTATCTCTTCAAAAGACTTTTTGCATATACCTATTTAGCGGTCAGTATCTGATATTTAGTGCAGTATCTAATGTCCTTTGTAGGTCTAAATTTTACTCTTTGGTTCTGGTGCCTCTCAAGCTTTTGAGAATATATTTCTTTTGATATTGTGTGTTTGCCTTTTTTTTTTTTTTTTGGAGAGGTAGCAGAAAATTAATCTGGAGGAAAAAAAAAAATTAACCTGTAGAAATATTGAGGGCCCTAGGTTTACAGTTTCTCTTTTTTCTTAATTTTTTTAATGTTCTATTTATTTCTGAGAGAGAGAGAGAGAGAGAGAGAGAGGGAAAGAGAGCGTGAGCAGGGGAGGGTCAGATAGAGAGGGAGATACAGAATATGAAACAGGCTCCAGGCTGGCTGTCAGCACAGAGCCCGATGTGGGGGTCAAACCCACGATCCATGAGATCATGATCTGAGCTAAAGTCGGAGGCTTAACCGACTGAGCCACCCAGGCGCCCCTACAGTTTCATCCATGTAGACTTTGTTTTTGTTTCTGTGTTTCCTTTATTCTTAATTTAGTGTTTCCTCGATCATGCAGGAAGTACAGAGTGGGGCCCTGCACTGATATCGGGCCAAGATGATGGTAACAGGCCTAGAAATGGGACTGTATTTATTCCAAGTTGTTAGGAAGACACACAGGTTTCCTCGTTGCCTCCTTTTGTAGACAGGTAGATTTTTTCCCTACCTTAACCTTTCACCGAAGGATGCAGCTGCTTCAAAGACTGAGGAGCTGTGTGGGTCTCAGATCCTGTTCCCCAAAAGTCTCCTCTCTCCATAAATCTGGAAGCTTTTACTTTAGTATTTGACCCCAGCTTTCATGGGGTCTTTTTTTTTTTTCAAACCACTCTGATTTCAGTTCCCTGATCTTGTTTTCTTCTTCTTCCTCTTTTTTTTTTTTTTTTTTTTTTTTGGCCCTTTAGGATCTCCCTTAGTTTTTGTGAGCCTAATGCATTAAATAATTTTTAAAATATCTATCCAGTATTTAAGTGTTTTATAGCTACAGGGTTTTTCAAAGTACCTGGTCTGCATTACTTCCAGAAACCTCCATTCCCCCTTTTCAGTAACTTCTAAGAGAAACGTTAACGGCTAATTTTCATCACATATATTACTTCTTCTCTATGTAACTATTACAACTTAACACATTGAGGTCAGTGGTTAAGAAAGTCAGTCTACATTAATTAAAAGTCAGAATCACAGAAGTGTGTTGTTGTTTTTTTTAAATAAGTTTGACTGACAACCACAGGGCAGAATATTTAATCTTGGCTAATAAAGCTGTAAGTACACGTACCAAATACTTTTAATCACAAGTAACTTTTATACATTATATACTCTACACATAGTGCCTCAAAACAGTTTGTTCTTCTAAGTGACTTGAGGCTGACCCCTTAAACTGTTACATTTATTTGGTAAGCAAATTAATGATTTTAGGCATCAGACTCAAATTCAAAACATTATACTGAGATTAACCAAACACCTACTTGTGACTTGAGGATAAAAGCCATAAACTCTCCAAGCCTAACTCAACTTGGATTTAGAGAAATTACAAAAATTTAATTTAGGGAGTTTCATAACCACTAAATTCAGTTTCAGATAGCCTGCAAAACGCTTTCATGCAATTCCAAATTTAAGTCCTTAAACCTGAACACTGCAAAAAGAGACTTTCCCCACAAGACTAGTGCATTCTTTACCTCTCCAGCACTTGCACATTCCTTGGCTCTTCTGTGAAGTGCAGCCCATGTATCTTCATACCTGAGAACAGCCAAAAATCATTGTCAACACAAACTAGACATTTAAAAAACATACTATCTAAAGTTGCACTTGGAACTCCTATGGTGCTGGGGGGCGGGGGAGGAAGCAACTCAAAAAATAATGGGGATGTGTTCCAAAGACACAGAAGAAACTTGAAGGGGCGTCCAATGGCCAAACCTGGGACAATCTGAGCAACAAATTAATAATGGTAGCAAGGGGGTGTAACTCGAGGAATAAAACAAACATCCATGAGTTCATAGTGATTTAAAGAAGTAACTGAATAAATGAATGGGGGAGAAGGGAAAAGTACTTCCGTAGTAGTAGAATTCCAGTTAATAATTATAGAAAAAAATGATAAACATAAGAAGTCACCACTTCATATGCACAACAATAACTGTTTCAGGCAAGAATTCTAATGGATGCTAAAATTAGTGGGTGAAATTAAGAAGAGAAACAAAACATTTACATAGTCTCAAAGTATCTCCCCACAGGACACTCATACAGTAACGAAACGTATAAACATTGTGTGCCTACTAATATGATGGTCTGAGGACACGACGCTGCCCTTCTGATATTCTTGTCAAAACACCAGTGACTTGAATTTAATCATGAGAAAACAGCACATAAGCCCAAACTGAGGGGCATTTTGCAAAATAACAAAAAGTACTCTTTGAAAGTGTCGAGGTTAGGAAAAACCAAGACCCAGGAACTGTGCCAATTAATGGAGATGTAGGAGATACAGCGACTAAATACAATTTATGACCCTGGATTGGATCATGGTCCCCAAATAAGGACATTTGTGGGACAGCTGATGAAATCTGAATGTCTATAGGATATGGGGCAGTGTGGATTTCCAGGTTTTAATCACTGTACTCTTTAATAAATGTACTCAATTAAGAGTACAATGGTAAGATTATTACCAATAATCTTCAAATATGCAAAGCAATAACTGACACCATTGAAGGGGGACATTAATCATTCTCCAATGACAAAGACCTCAATACTCACTCTCAATAATGGTTAAAATGACCAGACCAAAGATAAATAGGAGAGGACCTAAACACCACAATAAACCAACTAGATATACAGATATATATAGAACACGCTACCCAACAGCAGCAAAATACACATTCTTCTCAAGAGCAAATGGGAAATTTTCCAAGATAGATCATTTGCTATGCCACAAATTAACTCTCAATAGATTTTTTTAAAGGGGGGGGGGGTAAATGAGAAATCTCTGAACGTATATACTGCTCAATTTTGCTGAGAACCTAAAACTGCTCTGAAAATGTCTATATACCTTTTAACAAAAAAAGACACAGATATTGCACAATGTATCTTTTCTGACCACAATGGGATGAAGTTTGAAATCAATAAGGAATGAAAGGAAAACTGAAAAATTCACAAATCTGTGGAAATTAAAACTTTTAAATAACCACTGGGTCAAAGAAAAAACTCATAAATCAGACAGTATTAAGAAACGAATGAAAATAAAACTACAACATACCAAAAGTTAAGGACTCAAGAAAAACAGGGCTAAGGGTGAAATTGATAGTTATAAATGCTTAGATTAAAAAAGAAGAAAGATCTCAAATCAACAGCCTGACTTCATAATTTAAGGAAGTAGAAAAAGAATAAAATGAACTCAAAGCTACCGGAAGGGAAAAAAAGTAAACATTAGGGCAGATAAATAGTGAACAAAAATGTTGAGAAAAATCGATGAAATAAAAAAGTTATTCTTTAGAAAGATTAACAATATTAAATCTTTAAGTGGACTAAGGAAATAAAAGAAGACTCAAAATTAGAAACAAAAGTGGGGAAATTACCAATTTTACAGAAATAAAAAAGGATTATAAGAGAGTACTATGAGTAACCATATGACAACAAATCGCATAACCCAGATGTAATGGTCAAATTCCTAGAAACACAAAACCTACCAAGACTGAATCTCAAAGAAACAGAAAATCTGAAGAGACCCTTAATTAGTAAGGAGATTGCATCAGTCACTGAAAATCTTGCTTCTGAACAATCAATGCATCAAAGAAGAAATTAAACAGGAAATAAAAGTGTACCTTGAAACAAATAAAAATAGAAATACAACATACCAAAATGTGTGGGATACGGTTCTAAGAGGAAAGTTCATAACAAATGCCTACATTAAAAAGATCCCAAATAAACAACCTAACTCTACACATTAAGAAACCAGAAAAACAAAGCGAGCCCAAAGTTAGCAGAAGGAAGGAAATTATAAAGATTAGAGAAAAAAATAAATGAAATAGAGAATAGAAAAACAATAGACAAGATTAACCAACCTAAGAGTTGACTTTTTGGAAAGGCAAAACGGACACAACCTTAGCCTAGACTAACCATGGAAAAATGACAGATGACCCAAATCAGCAAAATTATAAATGAAAGGGGAGACATTACAGTGGATACCGCAGAAATAGAAAGGACTGTAAGAGTGTACTATGAACAACTATATACCAACAACCTAGTTGAAATGTAAAAATTCTTAGAAACAAACTACCACAATGGAATGAGAAAAAAATAGAAAAGTTTGAATAGCAATTACTAGTAAGAAGGTTGAATCAGTAATCAAAATTCTCCCAATGAAGGAAAAGCCCAGCATGAGAGGGCTTCACTGGTGAATTCTGTTAAACATTTCAAGAAGAATCAATGCCAATTCTTTTCAAACCCTTCCAAAAAACTGAAAAGAAATGCGCCCAAACTCATTTCAGGAGGCTAGCAGCACCCTGACACCAAAGCCAGAAAAGGAAACTATCAGAAAACTACAGACCAACATCCCTGATGAATAGGTGGATGTAAAAACTCTCAATAAAATACTAGCAAGTCAAATTCAGTAGCACATTAAAAGAACCATTCACCACGATCAAGTAGGATTTATACCTGGGATAAGAAGATGGTTCAACCCCGACTAATCAGTGTGATATACCACATTAATAGAACTGAAAAAATGCCATACAGTTATCTCAACAGATGCAGAAAAAGCATTTGACAAAATTCAACATCTGTTTATGATAAAAACTATTAACAAATTATGTATAAAAGGAATGCAACTCAACACTATAAAAACCATATATAAGCTCATAGCTAACATATACTCAGTGGTGAAAGGTTGAAAGTTTTCCTCTAAGACCAGAAACAAGACAAGGGCTCCCACTCACGGTTCCTATTCGACACAGTAGTAGAAGTCCTTGCCAGAGCAATCAGATATGAAATACAAGGCATCAGAATTGGAAAGGTGTAAGGAGAATTGCCTATTTGCAGATGATGTAATTTTATATATAGAAAACCCTAAAGACTCCACCAAAAAAAGCCTGTTAGATCTAACCAACAAACTCAATAAAGCTGCAGGATACAAAATTAACATACAAAAATCAGTAGTGTTTCTATACACTAACAACAAATTATCTGAAAAATAAGATGACTCCATTTACAACAGCATCAAAAACAATAAAATAGCTGGGAATAAATTTACCCAAGAAGGGGAAAGAGCTCTACTCTGAAAGGTATAATGATGTGAGAAATCGAAGATGAAAATAAATGGAAAGGTATCCCATGTTCATAGACTGGGAAAATATTGTTAAAACGTCAATACTACCAAAAGCTATCCATAGATTCAAGGCAATCCCTATCAAGATTCCAATGACATTTTTTAAGTATAAAAACAATACTAAAATTTATATGGAACCACAAAGACCCTAAATAGCCAAAGCAATCCTAAGAAACAAGAATAAAGAGTGAGGCATCACATTTCCTGATTTCAAGCTATACTACAGAGCTATAGTCATCAAAACAGTCTGGAACTGGCCTAAAAACAAATAGATCAATGGAAGAGAACAGAAAGTCCAGGAATAACCCCAAGCATATATGGTCAACTAATATTTGACGAGTGAGTCAAGAATACTCAATGGAAAAGACAGTCTCTTCAATAAATGGCCCTAGGAAAATGGGATATTCACATGTAAAATAATGAAACTATACCCTTTTCTTATACCTCTCATAAAAATTAACTCAAAATGGATTGAAGACTTAAATATAAGACCAGAAACCATGAAACTCCTAGAAGAAAACACAGGTAAAAAGTTCCATGACATGGGTCTTGGCAATGTTTTCTCAGCTAGAAAACCTTAAGTACAAGCAACAAAAAGAAGTGGGGATATATCAAAATAAAGAGCTTCTGCAGAGCAAAAGAAATGACAGAGTAAAAAGACAATCTAATGGGAACAAAAAATATTTCCAAACCATGTATCTGATAAAAGGTTAATATCCAAAATATGTAAGGAACACATACAACTCAATACCCAAAAAAAGCCCAAATAATCCATTTTAAAATGTACAAAAGACATCACTAGACATTTTTCCAGAGATATATGAATGGTTAACAAGCATATGAAAAGATGCTCAACATCACTAATTATTAGACAAATCAAAACCCCAAGGAACTACCACCTCCCACCTGTTAGAACAGCTATCATCAAAAAGATACAACAAATGCTGGTGAGGACGTTGGGAAAAAGGAACCCTCAGTTGCACTGTTGGTGGGACTGTAAACAGGTGTAGTCACTATGGAAAACATAATGGAGGACCCTTAAAAACTTAAGAACAGAAATACCTCACAATCCAGCAATCCTACTTCTGGATATTTATCCAAAGGAAACAACACTAACTCAACACTGAACCCTCCTGTTCACAGTGGCATTATTTACAATAGTCAAAACACGGAAACAGCTTAGGCATCCATTGATGGATGGGTGACATATATATGTACACAGTATATACAATGGACTATTATTCAGCCATAAAAAATGAGGCAACTCTGCCATTTGTGACACCATGAATGCACTTTGAGGGCATTATGCTAAGTGAAGTGAAATAAATCAGACAAAGACAAATGTGTGATCTCACTTATATGCAGAATAAAAAAAAAAAACCCAAACTCAGAAAGAGAGATCAGATTTGTGGCTATTGGAGGCAGA